TAACATGAATTGCCACCCTTAGATGTAATTAGAGAAGTTAATGGATTTTACCTAGCTCTAATTATGAATTATTTATGGATGATTGGTCTATATGTAATTATCATATCAAATGGACACTTCACAGTTTAAAAATAATTTAAGTCTATAATTATGAGAGTGCAATTAGGCCCCGTTCAATTTGCAGATTCGAGTTTGCATCTGAGAGCTTTTCACTGTAGTAGAAAAAGTTAGATGTGACATTTTCTGAGAGCTTTTAACTGTAGAAATCTAGAACTAAAAACTCAAATCGGTAAAATGAACGAGGCAAGTTTATAGTGGAGTAACTTTTAGAATTAATAGATTTAATTAATTAATTAATTAAAGAGTTTAATTAATTATTAATTTTATTGGAGCTCGAAATTATAGGTCCATGAGTTCTTGCGTCATCCTTATAATCCTACAAGACACAAAGGAAAAAATGAGAATTTTAGAATTATAGAATTCTAAAATAAAACGCTCCAGGATAACTAATTAAGAATTAATTATTAATTAACTAATGTGATTATTTAAGTTTAAATTTGAATTTTGAAACACAGATGTGAAGGGGTTCACATAATGTTAACGCACAGCATAGTTTGAATCCCATTGGGATTCAGTTGCTTGCTCTTCAAGTTATCCAATTAACTTATTTGATAAGTTGTCTAATTTGAAATTCAAATTGATTTAAGTTTGACTTAGATTAGAATTTGAATTTGAGTCAAAATTGACATGTGGATAAGGGAGATAGATTTTGTTTCAAAATCAAATTTGAAGTTAGAAATTATTATTAAGCTTTATCTTGGAGATAAAAATTAGACTTTTTCTGGGAGTCTGACTACTATTTTATAAATAAGAGATTGCAGAAAATTAGAAAACAAAATTTTTGCTCTCCCTAGCATAGTGTGGCCGGTTTTTTATAGAGTGTGGGAAGGAAAATTTTCTCTAAAATTTCACATCGTGCATGTGTTGGTGTTCGTGAAAAAACTTGAGTGTTTATTTGCTAATCCCGTTTTGTTTCAGGTGTGCCCTCACACACGTCTTCTTTGATTCAAGAAATTGACGAGAAAGATTTGGGTGTTCTGAACTAGCTTGGAGTGAGGAGCGTTTGAGGTCAAAGAAATTAAGTTATTATCCTAATCGTTCGCTAGGTAAATAAATTAATTTAATTAATTTATTCATGCATAAATTAATGTAATTTATAGAGTATCTCAAAGTTTTATAAAAATTTTTGTTATACACGATCCGCTAAATACACGCTTCCGCATCCGAAAATCTACATATCATGGGATCGCTAATGTGTTGATTCCCTTATTTTACTGGGATTGTTGATGTGGTTTTCCTTATATTCCACGTGACAAATTAAGTCAGGGGGGTTAGGCTTATTTTAACTTGCCTTACTTCAATGTACTTGTCCTTGAGAGTTAATTCTCTGGAGATTGACCTCGAGGCATTGAGCTCAACGTACTGACCTTAAGGTACCAAGTTTAACATGGACCAAAACCTGAAGTACTGAGCTCAAGGTATCGTGTTCAGGATGTTAAGCCTGAGACATTTAGCCTGTGGCATTTTGGCCTGATGCATTTAGCTTAGAACATTTGGCCTGCGGCATTTAGCCTATGTCATTTGACCTAGGGCATTTAGCATAAGGCATTTGGCCTGAGGCATTTATGCTTACTTACCTACCTAGGGTTGCCCATGTCACTTATCCAGCTTAACATATTAGGCTTAAATTACTCAGCTCGACATACCCAACTCAAGGTACCAAGCTCAAGGTGATGATCTCAAGGTACCGAACTCAAAATATTGAGCTTAACATATCTAACTCAATCTGAGATTTGAATTTTTAAGTAGCCTACGTGGATTGTCACATGATAAATTATGGCATAACACTAAGTTTACTAAACATTTAAAAAAAAGTATTGTTTCCGATTCCTTTTCAATAATAATTATTTTAATTATATAAAAAGGACAATTTAGTAATTATATTGATTTAATTCTTATTTTGAAGTTTAGTAAACATTCAAAAAAAAAAAAGTGGGATAAGAATTAGAAAAAACAGTAAGCATATTAAAAAGAATCAACAATTTTCATTTTCATTACTTAGCTTTTCATTTTCTTAGGCAAAGGCAACCATAGTTAATTTTCTCGTTGCTATTTTCTTTTTGGAATTTGTTATTAGTCATAATTATAAAAAGAAGTTGAGTTGATTAATGTTGAGGTCAGATTTTATACCTCATCTCTCATTGTACACATAGCAACTTAGACTTCAGTAAATCACTAAACGAGTCATTGCGACTTCTTGGACAAGCTAGATCGACTCATTGGAGAGCCAACTTAATAGGTCGATTCCGCGAGTCCATATTCAACCTTGGACGTCAAGTAACGAGAGAATATCCTCAACATATTCGTAAAACTAAGATTGACAGTTTAAATCACTTATAAAAAGCAAGAAATCATCCAGTCAAGTTAAAGAAATTAAGATGGAAAAAGGTAACTTAAGAAGAAAAAAGGTCACCTGTTGACCTAGGAAGATTAGGGAAATCAAATCCATAACAATCACACAATAAGGAGGGGAGATCAAATCCTAATGGGCAAAAAACTAAGTATGACCCGTTATCAGGAAGGTAAATTTGCAAAGGAAAGTCAAATATCACTACAAAAAGAAACACGAATCACTAATCGAAGGCCAAATTGACCAAAAAAATAAGAAACATCTCGTGGAGCCAAACATATTGGCTTCATCGGCTTTAATTCTTTAATTGTTGAGGAGAAATCGTCTATCAGAAGGACTCTTTCTTAAAGGAAAGAGGGGCACTTAGGACTGAGAAACACCTGTTAGAGCTCAAAATAGGCCTTTCGGGCTAGGTTCTTTGTTAGGAGTTTGTTTACTCAGACAAGATAGTACCCGTTCCGTTGTCTCCTAGTCAAAGTCTGTCCCCGAATCATCTGTTGATCCGTTGGAGTTTGGGATTTCAGAGTTTGAGGAATTGACGAGTGAAGGGCAATGCCAGTCGATTATTACTCAGATTTCTACATACCAAACTTTGATCAATCATCCATTCATGCATTTTCAGGGATCCACACTGTCACACTTAAACACTCATGCTCGTTTTCAGCAAATCTCTTATTATTTTCTTTGTATTTTCCAACATTCCCCTTTCTCTCTCATCTCATTCTTCTTCCATCAACCAATTGTAATATTTTTTTAGCATGTATAGTGAAACTATCAGAGCCCGACAGAGGACATAAGTCTCATTAACGAATAGACCTCTATAATTCATGTGTCAGTTTTAGTGTTTTATTTTTATTTCATGTTTTACTAATACTCTCGTTCTCACAACAGATCAATCCCTCTAATTGATGACTTCTAACTTGACTATTAACTCTTAATTTCTCTAATTTAGATTTTACCCACTACAATTAGTATCACCACATTTGAAAGCTCCTTTTGATAATACAATGTGATTTGTTATATATAATATATATAAATATATATAATATCTATTATCTATTTTGAAATTTGAAGGAAATAATGTGATACGGTATCTTTAATCTAATGTATGATTAAGTAGTTTTATTTGTTTTAATCTAATAGTACTTATTAAACTGTTGTTGGTTGTTTTTAAAGCTCTATCTTATTTAATTATTACTAAGAAACTCTTAGGAGAACTATTAAATTACAAAGAAAATAGATCAAGATATTTTTTTTACAAGACAATCATTTAGCCGTTTTTTTTTTTTTGCTATAATCATTTAGGTTCTATTTCTTTGTAAAATGAAAATCATTAAGGTTACAAGACCATCCTTAAGGAATTTAGAAAAAGTCCAAAGTCCATTTGTGATTTCTTCAATTTCCACAAGGAAAAAAAAAAGAAGAAAATAAAGAAGAATGGACGATTGCGAGTGAGGGAACAACCTAAAAGATATTAGTCCGACATACACCAGATTACTAGTTCATCCACTCGGGTGAGTGGTGATGTAAGGGTAATATAGTAAATTCAGAACACGTACTGCCACGTCATCAGCAGGAGGTAGCTGAAACGGTTTCTTTTAGATGCGTCTGAGCAATTAGTCCGGTCTACGGTTACAAGATTCTGATTGGCCCATATTTCCTATGACCATATTATCCTTATTTGCGTGGGAGAAAAAAAAAGGACATGTGAAGTGAAAAACCCCATATTTGTTTTTCCATTTTTTTGACACATTCTTCTTCTTCTTCTTCTTCTTCTTCTTCTCCTCTGTTTTTATAGATCCACGAGATTTATTCTTAAAATGTTAAAATTGTCCATTTTTTCTTCTATTTTTTTTTTTTCTAAAACAAAAATCCCGGAGAGAACATAGATTGGTCATTAATGTTAAACTTGAAAAATAGTAGCAATATATTGCCAGTCATTTTTCTGTTCTGAATCTCTTTTTCCTTCCAAAAAAATATTTCCTCCAAAAGAACAAAAATCCTATATTTAAACACCAATGATAGTGTTTTGAAGTCTCCTTTGTGAGTCAAAATAAGTCCAAAAGATCTATGCCCACTTTTTTTAACCCAAAAGAAATCCATGATACTTTTCAACCATAGGGGGGATAGATACGAAATTTAACCTCAAGAATCCAAGATATTTTAATCACGTCAAATTAGTTGCGTGCCAATTAATTATGAGGCAGAGGATTAGACAGAAAAAAAAGGTGTTATATATAAATATTAAGTTAAGCCGTCTTTCTCTGCCCAAAAACATAATTATTATTTTTTTAAAACGTTTTTTTTTTCCTTAATAAAGTCTATTTTGTCATCAAGGGGATAAAAGAAACCAGAAATGGTTTTCATAATTCCTTGTTCACACCGCCCATTTTCAAACCTCTTTTTTTTTTTTTTTTTTTCCACACCATCCTTTCTAAAGAAAAACAATTTTGTTTTGTTTTTTTTTCTCTTTTTTTTTTTTTGTCTAAATCACAACAACAATAAAACCCCAACAAAGTTCTCCCCCTCTCTCTTTCCTTTCTCTTCTTCCTAGGAATGTCCATTCTCTTATTCCACTTCTCTGTCTTTTTTCTCTGTTGTTGCCCATAAAGCCTCAGAAAATGTTCAAACTGTTTGATCCAAACTGAAAAATTCCATGTCCGTATAAATTCTTTCTAGAGAGAGAAACCCAAGAGAGAGAGAGAGAAAATGGAGAGTTCTTTAGGAGTGGGGTTCATGGCCGTGTTTGCCGTTACGGGAAGTGTAGTTATTCTTGCTCATCAAATCCATAAGCGTCTCCTCTCTGACTTCATGAAAGACATTGAATTTGAATTGGGGGGTCGTCTTTTGCATTCCCATGACAACACAAGATTTGGAATTGGTATGTAAATCTTTAAACTTGTCCCTTTTATTTATTTTTTGTTTTCTTTTGTGTATGTCAATCTAAAATCAACTGCCAAACATGGCCTATTGATAACCAATTACGTTAACTTTTAGTACTTGTTTATTATCTTCTCTGCTTAGAATTATAACTAGGACTAAAACTTTGATTAAATTCTTATTTTGTTAATTCTTTTTGGTGATTAGGATCTGCGAAAAGAACGTCAAAGAAAACCGTTAGATTCGCGGACGACGTCGTCGAGCCCTCGTCGAACAACAAGGAATACCGAAAGAGGTGCATGATGATGGAAAGGCGGGTTTCAACAATGGAGGGTGTCCCAAACAAGGGCCATGACCAAAAGTTTGAGGTCACCATGCCACCCAATAGGCAAGCTTTATATAGAGGGATCATTGCTTTTAAGTCTCTTAAGGACCAATCATTTGTTAATTAATTGAAATTTTTTTTTTTTTTTTTTTTTTTTGGGAATTGATCAGATGGGATTATTGAAGTTCCCTATATGTAAGTTCGGATTTGGCTTAGACTTGTTATTATTATTATTTTTTTTTAGAAATCATATGTAGATATTGAAAGCTTTTGTTAGGCCTTTTGTTTTTCACACACAAGGTTTAGTTGGCTTTCAAAATAAGGGAAATCTAAATAGGATTCTATGGAAATGGAATCTTGGTCCGCATCAAAGCGCAAGACTTGGTTGGTCTGGATCCTTTTATCTGTTTTTTGTTTTTTTTTTTTTTTTTCATTTATTGTAATTATGTCATGAGAAATAAAATTTAATGCAATGTAACTAACAATATTGTAAGTAAAGAATCCAGCTGTTTTTCTTCTTATTTAATGACTTCACAATTCAAAAGACATATTAATCTGCAATCGTTAATCATGATACTAAAGTATTTTCCAAATTATATGTATTATCTTCATTGTGACTTTTTTATTTATTTTTATTTTATTTTTCTTTTTGGAATTTGAAACTACTTGTAACATGTAGTTCGAACTTGAGAGCTTGAAATCAAACCTGGTCTTCATAATATAAGAAAGAAGATTAGTATTTTCAAAAAAAAAAAAAAAAGGAAGAAGAAGAAGAAAGAAAGAAAGAAAGAAGATTATTACTTTCCCTTATACAAATGTGTATAAATAGAACAAAAATAAGAAAAATATGTTCACCGAGTCTTATTTATTGGGTCAATTGATTGTTTGACTTTTGAGTAATCTCGATAAATACCTTTTGAAAGTGAATGAGCCATGATTTTTACTCTTTATTCTTGATTCATATCATTTTTAGTTAAATAATTACACTAACAAAATGATATTTATCGAGAATAATGGGTAAAAGTCTAGACTCTTACTCTTTAAGTATAAACTCTTTATTTTTTCTTGACTTTTTTTTCTTTAATCTGTTAGAGGCCCACAAGATACTCTTTTCAACAAATGAAACTAAGGACCAACATCCTAGCCTGCTAGGAAAAAAGATTTCTAAATTTTTCAGGAAAAAAAAAGAAGAAAAAGTTCTTAATTAAATATTTACTTTCAGATTATATCGTATTGTATTGAATAAAAAACAACATGACATAATGAAAATGACATGGCAAAGCTTTTCAAATGAGAATATTCAATTTTTTTAATAGGCTTTAAAAGTTTGATACAATAAACTATAGTATATTTTGTGCTGTCATATGTGAGTAAAATATTTCAAATGAGAAGATTATATGCCCTTATAAGCAAGAGCTATATCTGAAGAAGGCTTCAATTGATCCAGTCAGTATTTAATTGAAACAAAGCCATCGAAATTTTTAATTTTTCATTGGCATTTGTCATTATTCGATTAATCTTTTTCATTCATCGTCAGCAATATATATATATACATATATATATATATATATATATATATCACACTAAACCTTAACAACAAATTACACAAAGCAAAGTAATTCCTTATCTATGCACTATTCTCACAAATAGTCCGCTGATTAGGGCCTCAATCAAGTAACAACAAGTTGTTTTTTTTTTTAATTGAAAATTAACAACATAAGTTACAGAGTTATCAAGATGGCATTCAGTCATATATGTGTGTATGGATGATCTACTCAAACACTTCTTGTGTCTTGCTTAAATAAATGCTTTTTTAGCAAAAAAAAATTATATTAAAAATCCCATGTTAAGTTTGTTAACTTTTAAATGAAAAGTGGGTAAAATGTTTAAACAATTTCACCTAGAGATGAAAGCCGGCCCGACTCGAGCCCAGCGGCCCAAATAAAATTTTTTGGCCGGCCCACCCGACAAACTTAGGGTCGATCCAACCTGATATGAAATTTTACAATTAATTTCCAAGAAATTTCTAAAATAAGGAGTATTCAGGCCGGTCTGACTCAGCTCGAATAAGATTTTAGACTTAGAATCTTAGCCTGCCCAACCCAAATGCTCGAACCTAACCGGGCCAAGTATGAGCCAATAATGGCGAGTCTCGAACCTGCCCAAACTTACAGGTCTAATTTTGGGCAAACAATCTACTTATTGTATTGATCTTAGTCCATGATAATGTCAACTTTTCACCATTATAGGGTAAGGTATTAGCTTGTGGTTGCCTAAAAGTCACCTAACAACCTTTTTGTTGGATAAAACAACAATTTTAAGCCAAAAACGTAGATGAGATCATTTTCTATAGCATAGAAAAGAGTGGCATTTTTGGTATTTAAAAAATATTTGAAGGTTAAACCAAAGTTTTCATAAGTTGGATTAACGGAGGGATGTCTCTAATTCTTTTAAAAATTCAAAGAGTGTATATGTAAAATGTTTTGGTTGAGGTGTTTGTTTTCAAAAATGTACATATAAAGAAATGTTAACATCAATTTTTTATCATTTTTTTATTATTTTCTGTATTTACTATTTGATACATAGACTTTATTAATATGATAAATTATTATTTAAATAAAATAATAAAATAATAAAATTTACGTGTCAAATAGTAAATATAAAATAATAAAAAAAAATGATAAAAAAAAAAAGTGATTCTAGCGTTTATATACCATACGTCATCGAGATGTTTCTCGAATTTTATTCCGTGGTTAATTTCTTACCGAGTATGGATAAGCTCTAGATTTTCTTTTCTTAAAAATAATATCTAGATTGTTGTAGGATCTCATTGGTGCAATTGTCAAACATCTGCTAATTAGTAAGACAATATTGCTAACATAAAGGAATTATTTCAGTTTCACAGGGAACCAAATTCATGATAGTTTATAATTATCTTCCATTGGGACGCAATGCAATGTCAAATCGGTCACACCATATGCTAATACCAATGTCAAAATTTTAATTCTTTGGAAAGTAAAATAATTTATGTTTTCAAACTATTGTTAAAATTTTTAAGGACTGTTTTTTAATTTGTTGTATCAATATTTCGTATGTCATCTTTACATAAAACAACCAAAATTCTTTTCTATCAACTCTCATTTACAATCGCCAAGTGTAGCATCACTCTTTTTTTTTTTTTTTTATGTTTACTTTTTATGATTCTTTTTTCATTTGACTTTTGTCTTTCTTTAATTGTTTTTCTTCTTTCTTTCCTCCTTTTTTTTATTTGACCAAAATTTTCTCTACAGTTTAATTACTACAGCATGTATTTTTTAAATAAAAATACTTTTTTCCCTGTTTTGTTTCTATCGAAATAATTTTTTATCTTTTTATGGAAAGCATCTCTATGGTGTGATTCCATTTCAATGTTTTTTTTCCCTCTCTTGCTTATACTAAAATAATTTTTCAATTACACCTCTACTTAATTTTTTTCCATCTATTCCTTACTATATCGATAATGATTCTTATAAAACAATTTTTCTTAAACATGTCTCCTTGTAACAGTTTATTCAAATAACCTTTTAACTAATATTTTTTTTTCATGAATACCTATTGTTGTGAGGAAAAATCTATCTTGCCCCATCAGACAACAACCGAACTCCACGTGGCCATCACTATGCCACGTCAGCCAGCGGACAGGCGTTGACGGCTAAAGGGTCGGCTTCCAAGGATGAGTGATGTTCCAATGAGAGAAGGGTCGACCGCCCCAAGGCGTTTTAAAATAATTCTTGAAGAAGCGCTCTACATTAGCAAGTTTGTAATCAGCGACATCCAAGCCAACAACCGACCCTTCAAACTGCCAAGAAATTGACGGATCCCAAACCCCCATAAACCGGCGACGTTATGGAAGGGTCGGCAGGGAAACCTAGTGGGAATACAGAGGGTAGGACGTTCAGTCCTCTGACCCAGATCCCGAGAGTATCCCCTGAGGTAATAGGAGAAAAATTCATAGATTACTTGTGAGTTTAAACAAAGTCAGTAGCAGAGAAAATGATTACCAGCCTATTAGCCGTCTAAAACGGACCAATGGAGATCATAGGAGATCCACAGAGCCGCAATAGTGGACAAAGTAGGTAGATGAACAGTCCAAAAGGTACTGAAAAGCTACATCTAGGCGAGTAGGATAATAGGCTACTCGAAAGAAACTGTCAAATAACCATTTGTCTTGGTTTCCTCCAATGTGTAATCTGTGAGATATAAAAAGGGCAAAGCCTTAGAGAGGAGGGATGATGAAAAACTGGGAGAGCAAAACCTTTGTAATCGAAGAAGAAAGAAAATAGTAAAAATTTCTCCAAAGTGGATGTAGCTCTTGGTGAACCACCATAATTTTTGGTGTTTCTCTTATTCAGAGCACTCTTATGATTTACACACGACTAGTTGCATTTTTTTAGTTGTTATCATGTATTCTAGCTGGTAACCTGACTAATTATTGGACTGTAATTCAGTAGGTTTCTATTGACAAGATTTCACCGTCAACACTTAATTCTAAAATTTTCTCACTAAATGTCTATTTCTTGCAACCCTCTCAAATGCTATTTCCTCATGTGTACCATTAAACATCCTCTTCATAATTTTTCTACACTAAGAACTTTCTTTTGAATTTATAACTCTATAAAAGAGGCAATTTTTCTACTACCAAGCGTTAAAAATTAAAACCATTTATTTTCAACGAAAAATATATAAAAAAATTAAAATAAACACAAGATGTAGAAATTCGTGATAAATTTCTTATTATGCAATAAATAATATTCCGTTTAAGTTTCTCCAACATGATAACATGATATCAAACTAGCGTCCTTAAATAGCCAAACTACTCAAACAGGGATTAATTGGATTTTAGAACTTCTTTTACAAACTTTATATGATGATCATTGCATTTATAATAAAAACATCTGGTTATCAAAAAAAAAAAAAAAAGAGCAATATCCACAATAATGACGAGTTAAGAAAAATAAGCTACAAACATAATTTATAATAATTTAGTAATATTTTTTCATTTATTTTCGTAGAGAAATCACCACTACAGTATGATCACACTGTTGTATTTTGACATAATAATTCCTTTTACAAATTGTACTTTTTATA